TCTGCCTCCCGAGTGCTGGGATTAAAGGCGTTCGCCACCAACGCCCAGCAATTTCGTGAAATTTTTGAGAGCTAGGATGGAACCCAGGCCTTGTGTGTGCTAAGTAAACATTCTACCACTGGGCCATATTCTTGCACGCAGTGAAGTTTTTGATGGCGGGACTGGAGGCCGGCCTCCCCGGCAATGGCCAGAGACCCTGCACAGGCTTCCGGGCGGCACAGGCTCTCTCAGCTCTCAGAGCGGTGTTCTGCGCACTTCCGGCCCTGGCAGGCCCGGCGGCCTCGTGGGTGTGAAGGGAGCCACAGCCCGATATCCACGGCGCGGGGAGCCGGAAGTGACCTCCTAGCAGGAACCCGCCAAGGCCACCGCACCCCGGAAGGAACAGAAGGAACCGAAGGAACGTCCTCCACTCATTCGCTGTTACCCTGACATGGCAATGCCGCTTCGCCTCTGGCCTGGGCGAGTTTAGCCTGTGTGGATTCCAGTAAGCTGCGTGTGTGTCAGTAAACTGCGTGTGTGTCAGAATATACACCCCACTGCTCTCTGACTTTGCCCATGCCGTGTTTAGCCTAAAGATGACTCTGTTTTCTTGCAGGTGTTGCCGTTGAGGAGGCCTCGCCTGGAGATGGCCGCATCCAAAGAGGCCGTCCCTTCCTTAGCCGATTGTCAGTGTGGCATCTGTATGGAAATCCTGCTGGAGCCGGTAACCCTTCCTTGCAACCACACGCTCTGTTACCCCTGCTTCCAGGCAACCGTTGAAAAGGCCAACCTGTGCTGTCCCTTCTGTCGCCTCCGGATCTCTTCGTGGGCTCGGTACCACACTCGAAGAAATTCTCTGGTCAATACAGACTTGTGGGCGATTATTCAAAAACACTATGCAAGGGAGTGCCAGATGAGAATCTCTGGGCAGGAATCGAGGGAAATCGATGGTGACGACCAACCGTGCCGCCAGTTAAGTAAACCTGGAGAGTTGAGACAAGAATATGAAGAGGAGATAAGCAAGTTGGAGGCCGAACGACAAGCCATCAAGGAAACTGAAAACAAAGCCAGTGAGGAGTACATACAGAAATTGTTGACAGAAGAGGAGGAGGAGGAGGAAAAACAACGGATGGAAAAGAGGAGACGTGAGATGGAAGAACAGCTGAAAGGAGACGAAGAACTGGCAACGAGGCTCAGCGTCAGTAGTGACAGTAACTATGAGCAAAATATCTTGGCTTCTCCTTCGACTTCCGGAAAATCAGATGCAGTCAAAAACAAGTCACAAAAGAAAAGTACAAGAAAACAAAGACACTTTGG